ACAGACCCCAGACCCCACAGACCCCAGAGACCCCACAGGGCCCAGAGACCCCACAGAGCCCACAGAGCCCACAGAGCCCACAGACCCCAGACCCCAGAGACCCCACAGGGCCCAGAGACCCCACAGACCCCACAGAGCCCTCAGACCCCACAGAGCCCACAGACTCCACAGACCCCTCAGACCCCACAGACTCCACAGACCCCTCAGACCCCACAGACCCCACAGACCCTTCCCCACCCTCCAATGGGATCGAACTCCCTGAGCTCTCTGATCCCACCCTGCTCCCCCCAGGAGCGGGGCCAGCAGCTCCTGCAGACGCTGCGGGGGCTGGAGCAGCAGGGCCTGGAGGGGATGAGGGAGCTGCTGGAGGGCTCCGTGCCCCCCTGCCCTGAGGAGCTGGCTGACCTCTTCTTCGACTGCGTGGAGGCCGAGATGAAGTTTTACACCTAAACCCCACACAGGTGGGTGGGCTCGGCTTCCCCCACGGCATTTTCCACGGGTAAGGAATCACAAAACATTCCCAGAGTCCCAAAACATTCCCAGAGCCCCACCCTGACCCTTCCTGGCTCCCTCCATGGGTCCCAGCCCCCAGTTTACCCTGGAGGGGTGGCCACGGCCTGGAATGAGGTGCAGGGGGAAGGACAGGGATGTGGAATGGGATTGGGAGCCCTGCCCACAGCCCCTTGTGTGCTTCCCCCCATTTCCAGCCCCTCAGGATGGCTGTAGGGTGACATCCAGCTGGATTGGGGTGGGAATAACGACTTTATTCCTTGCTGCTGCTGCAGGGTATTTGGGATAACTGCCCATTCCCCGCTCCTTTGGCACCAGGCTCCTTCTCCAGAGCCTTGCCTGGGGGCTGGATGGCGCCAGGAGCTCGCTGGGACACCCTGGATGCTGGCAGAGGTGACAGCTGTGCCCCTTGGGGACAGAGCTGGCCCTGCCCCGGGTCCAGCAGCAGAGCCCGGAGCTCCCGCAGCTCCTCCAGCCGGGCCCGGTGCTCCTCCAGGCTCTTCCTCCGCCTCCACCGCGCCCGCCCCGCCAGCTCCCGGTGCACATCCTGCAGGAAATCTGCCAGGACGGGAATTCCAGGAGATGTGGCACTGCCAGACCAAGAGTGCCGCGTGTCCTGTCCCCATCCGGGCACCTTTGTCCACGGTGAAGGGAATCCTCAGCTCAGGGAACAGCTCCTCATCCTCCTCCTCCTCCTCCTCCTCCTCGCTGCTGCTGCTGCAGGAGCCTCCTCCTGCCTCTTCCCGAGCCGTGTCTCCATGGATTGGCTGGGAATCCAGCTGCAGGAGGTGGGGCAGGGCTGCCACCACCAGATCCCTGCGGGAAAAAACCAAGGAAAAGCCAAATTCTCTGCAGCCGTGGGATTGGGAGTGGGTGTTCCATCCTCCCTCAGCCCACCGGAGCCTGGCCTGGGTGGAGAGCGGGGATTCACATCCCTGGGGTTTGGGGAGTGGGGATTCACATCTCTGGGGTTTGGGAATCAGGAATTCACATCTCTGGGGTTTGGGAATCAGGAATTCACATCCCTGGGGTTTGGAGAGCAGAAATTCACATCCCTGGGGTTTGGAGAGCAGGGATTCACATCCCTGGAGTTTGGGAATCAGGAATTCACATCTCTGGGGTTTGGGAATCAGGAATTCACATCTCTGGGGTTTGGGAATCAGGAATTCACATCTCTGGGGTTTGGGAATCAGGAATTCACATCCCTGGGGTTTGGGGAGTGGGGATTCACATCCCTGGGGTTTGGAGAGCAGGGATCCTCATCCCCAGGATTTGGAGAGTGGGATTCACATCCTGGGGTTTGGAGAGCAGGAATTCACATCCTGGGGTTTGGAGAGTGGGAATTCACATCCCTGGGGTTTGGAGAGCAGGGATTCACATCCTGGGGTTTGGAGAGCAGGGATTCACATCCCTGAGGTTTGGAGAGCAGGGATTCACATCCTGGGGTTTGGAGAGCAGGAATTCACATCCTGGGGTTTGGAAAGTGGGGATTCACATCCCTGGGCTTTGGTGGGACAGGCTGTGTTTGGTATTTCATGGAATGGTTTGTGTGGGAAGGAAACCTTAAATCCCATCCAGTTCCATCCAGGGATGCATCCCACTACCCCAGCGTGCTCCAAAGCTCTCCTGGCACACTTCCAGGGATCCAGGGGAAGCCACAGCTTCTCTGGGAATTCCATCCCATCCCCTCCCCACCCTCCCAGCCAGGAATTCCTTCCCAGTAGGGGAATCCACATCCCCTTGTCCTGTCACTCCATCCCTTCTCCAAAGTCCCTTTCCCAGCTCTCTTGGAGGTACTGAAAGGCCACAATTTGGTCACCCCGAGGCTTCTCCCGGTTTTTGGGGGGTTGTTCTCCCCCTCCTGCCCCACCTGTATCCGTCCTGCCGGCTGCACTCGTTCCCGGTCAGGTCGAGGATCCGGAGGCTGCGGGGCAGCTCCTCTGCCGGGATAAAGGGAATGACAGAGCTGGGAGCTGAGCCCCTCCAGCCCAAATTCCTGCTCCCCCCAAACCCCCCCACAGCGCTTCCCTCCCTCCCCAGGCAACTCCCAAAGCAGCGTTTCACCCCCACGCCCGGGGAAACTGAGGCAGGGAGGGCGGGAATGGGAATTCCAGCAATCCTGGCAGCCCCCTGGATCCGTCCCTGCTCCCCACCTGCGTCCAGAGCCCGGATCTGGTTGTGGGACAGGTCCAGGGCGCTCAGGTGGGGCAGGGCCTGCAGGTTTTCCACCCTCTGGATGCGGTTCCCAGCCAGGCAGAGGAACCTGGAGGGCACAGGGAGGGTGAGATGTCACAGCCCCACCTGGCCCCAAGGGCTGGAATTTGATCCCACTTTTTTCCCAGAGAACCCATGGAAATCTTTGGGAGCAGGAGCTGCTGTACCTCAGGTTGGGAAAAGACTCCAAATTCTCGATCTTCTCAATTTGGTTCTGGGAAATAAAATAGCAAAACCCCAATGTGTTTTTTTGTTTGGGTTTTTTTGTTTTTCTTGTCTACTGCGTGAAAAATCGCATTTTGGGAACGCTCTGGGATTGCTCCAACCAATGCTGGAGGCAACACGACATCCCACAGGAGGTTCTGGACAGGGAATGGGGTGGGGAGGACACGGAGAGACCCCAAAATTCAGGACCCTGAGCACCCTCAGGTTGGGTTTGGAAACGCTGGAATTCCAGTGGGGTCGGCATCGGCCGGGAGGGAACGGGGAGAGACCAGGGTGGGTCTGGGAGGGGGAGAAAATCTGGGAGGATGGAGGAAAACCGTTCCCTTCTGGGTTTTGGGGAGGGAAAACGGGAGCAGAGCCGGGGTCTGACACCTGCTGCAGGTAGAGGCTGTGAATCTCCGCCATCCTCCGGAGTTTCCCGATGCAGGAAATGTTCTCCCGATCCAAGCGGAGGGTGGAGGTGGGCAGCGGCCCCGTGGGGCTACAGGAACACACAGGGGGGGTTTTTGGGGTGTCCTGAACCCACTCCTCTCCCTGCCAGCCCAGGCTGCGTGGGATCCTCACCAGATGCGGGTGGTGACCAGGCTGTTGCTCAGGGTCACTCCTGGCCGTGTCCCCTCGGGGGCTGTGGGGATTGCGGGTGAGGGTCCAGGCCAGGGGTGCAGCCCCCCTGTCCCCTCCCAATGTCTCACTCACCCCCACACGGGCTGTCCCCTTGCTCAGCCATGGGTGACCCGGGGGTTCCTTGTCCCCTCCTCGGGTGGGGGTCTGAGGGAAAAGAGGGTGAAAAAGCTGCGGATTGGGGGTGTCAGGATTGCAGGGATGGGGGGCAGTGCTGGGACCCCCTCCCCATAACCCAGGGGGATTGTGGCGCTGGAATTGAGGGGAGCAGCGGGAGCCCCGGGGTGGGGATCCCAGAGACCCCCGGGATGGGGAGGTGGGGCACTGGGACCAGGCCTCACTGGATGGGAGAGCTCATAGAGACCCCTGAAATCGAGCCACGGCAGCTCACCGAGCCGGTACCACGGGTTTGGGGTACAAAGAGCCCCGGAAAGGCCAGGGGGGGCTCACCGGGAGCGGTTCCCCGGTTTTGGGGCTCCGTTCCCTCACTTTGCGGGGCTCGGAGGCGCCCAGGCCGCGCCGTTGCTATGGAGACGGGGCGCACCGGAAGTGGCGGGTCCTCCGCCTTCCCACAAGCCCTTGCACCAAGATGGCGGCGCTGGGAGGCGGCGGGACGCGATGGCGACGGGGTGAGAGACCGGGAACGGGAACGGGACAGGAACGGGAATAGGAACGGGACTAGAACGGGAGAGGGAATGGGAATAGGAACGGGACTGGGACGGGAATAGGAACGGGAACGGGGCTGGGACAGGAAGGGGAACGTGAGAGGGACAGGGACGGTGACAGGGGCCTGGAATGGGAACGGGAACGGGAACGGGAGAAGGACAGAGACTGGGATTTGGAATGGGAACGGGACTGGGGCAGGAATGGGAACGGGAACGGGAATGGGAGAAGGAATGGGAGCGGGAGAGGGACAGGGACCGGAATTTGGAACAGGAATGTGAACAGGAGAGGGAACGGTACAGGGGCCTGGAATGGGAACGGGACCGGGACAGAGAACGGGAATGGGAGCGGGTTTGGGGCAGGAACCGGGGCGAGGACTGGGAGCGGGCCCGAGGCAGGGCCGGAGCCGGGAGTCCCGCAGCGCTGGGGAGCGCCCGGTGCCG